TAGTTGATTAATCGATTAGTTGTCAATTATTAAATCGCCAACTAAGCACTTTTTTTTTAAAGAAAAAAATCTCTGACTTCAGCTTTCCTTAGTCTTCTACGACAGTAAACTGAATATCTTTGGATGTTGGACAAAATAAGACAATATCATTGATCAACAGTTTTTGCCATTTTATGGTCCAAATAATTAATTGAGAAAATAATTTTGTTGATTTATTGCTGTTGAATATAATAGTCAGTTGCAGCTGTACCATTTTGCATATTAAGTCTTTGCTTTTGGCCCGCAGCCCACCATTAAGTTTCAGTTTTTGACCTTCAAGGGAAAAAGGTAGGGCAGCCCTGGCGTAAAGTGATACTCTTAACCATTCAAATCATCTTTTGTGTGTATTTTTGTCAAGTCATTCTAATAATTAACACCGGTGATAACGGTAATGGACAGAAATGTATCGTGTTTTCTGTCCAAGGTGATCTCTTCAAATATGTCCAAAACCCAAAGATATACAGTTTACTATGATATTAACAGAAGAGCAGCAAATCTTCACATTTCAGAAGCTGATACCAGAGATGTCTGGCTTTTTGTGACCAAGATTGCAGTCTAGACCTGCTCTATATGAAACATGCCCTGAGATAACTTCCATTAAGATTTTTTGCGCTATATAAATAAAAGTGAATAGAAAAGGCTCTGATCATAGTGTGAAAATGTTTTGGAAAGGCTGCTCAGTGCCGGCGGCCGCGGCTGATTGAGCAGCTCGTATCTTACCACTGTGCATTTTGGGCAGCCATGAGTCAACCACAACCCGAGGTGTCAACTTTTGTAATGGCAAGTATATCTTAATGTTTCACGGCTTCACCGATGCAGCCTACCAGCACAGAGTGAGTCAGTGGTAGGTTCATCGTCTTTTTGTCTGTGGTTGCATTTCATTCAACACAACATGTTCAGATATTTTCTCCCCTTAATTGCATTTGCCATGCTCTCTGTGAGTTACTTGGCGGAATGCCATTTTGCTGAACATAATTGGCTGATTTATAACTGCAACATGTCTTTACTACCATTGCTGGATTATTTTATGATTGTTAGTTTTTTATTTTCCAGAACTAACTTTCACATTGACAAGTAAAACAGTTTTGGAGAAGCATCTTCTACAGATAGTGTTTGCTGAGGTCATGGTAGTTTGTTTTCTTCCCCATTTGATTTTTTTGTTTTGTTTGTTTTTCATAAATGATCCTGGAGTGTATCCATGTTGGTATTCCTGGTGTGGTATCCAGTTGTCCAGTGGTTAGACTTGCAGAGAAACCAGTGTAACAACTTCTCCCTGAGCTGGTTTGGGCTCAGCGTGACACAAAGTGTCTTTTATCTTTCTCCCCCAAGTGCTCGTGCCTCTTTCTCAGGGTCATTTACGACTTGAAGCAACCATGAGCTGACCAGTGGCTGACCTTTTAACCTTTTAAGGACCTCGTGCATTGCAAGCCCTGCTCATTTGTATGAGCATCTTTTCACTGCTTACTGCTTTGTCAAGCTAGGGGGAAAAATACATGTCCTTCCTAGCCTTTGGATGTGAAAGACAAGACAGTTAAATGGTGGCAATATCGTCCATTTAAACAGTGAGCCATGTTAACCTCTAAAGTCTGCTTCTATTCCTTGTCCTTTATTTAAGTTACACACACATTGAGGGCACGACACTTAGCCCTGTGATTTAGCTTTCACTCTGCCCTCGTTGTATTCCTGTGAATCAGCGGTTTGCATGTCTCAGACTTCAGCACTTTTTATCTGGCAGAGCGACTGTGAACATGTGCAGATCACCCTCATTAGCTCAGAATAAGGTGCTGAGCTGAGCACGCTCGCACAAACAAACCACAGACATGACGCACAAACGTAACATTTGTCACTTTTCTCACTTTTTTTCACTTTTTTTCACTGTTTCCACATAGCAAACAGACCTCAAACACTAAGACAAGAGTCTTAGCCAGTGGGGTAAAATTTCATATTGGCCGCAACAGAGGAATGAATCCATTGATTGTTTGGGGGACTTCCCAAAAGCAGTCTGTCATTTGAAATTTAGATCTGCTCTCATTTTATAAAACTTATTGTAAACGCCTTATCACTTTCTGTTAGTGATACATGTGATGCCCTTTAGGCTTTTTCTGTGGGCAGAAGTGAGAAGTCAACAAGTTTACAAAGTATCCTGCTTTTGGTTTGACACACACTCTGCTGGGGTGTCTCTCCTTGTTAGTGTTTTCTCCATTTGAGCAAGAAATGTTGTTACAGGAACATTTTGATGTTAAAAAATACATTGCACAGATGATACATATGATGGATGTAGCTGATTCTACACAGCCCGACGTTCTTTTTACAGGTCGACTGGTGTATATACACCAGTGGTTCCCAGTACATTGTCACTGGGGGTTGCAAGGCTAAACTTTTTAAGCTCTTCCAAAACCTGAACACAGGTCCGAAGGGGTCAGGGGCCAGGGGTCTGCAGTTTGGTCAGTGATAAATAAAGGGGTCCCTTAAGGAAAAAGGTTGGGAAAACACTGATGTACATTACCATAGCATTAACAGGTCACCAGGTCAGCAGGGTTGTGCGGTATCAACGGTTCCTATATTCAGCTTAAACCAAATAAGATTGAAGCTTGAACATGGACTATAACAAGGTTACCCCATGCATATAAATGTAACCAGTAATTGCAGATGCTGGGTACTGTCAAATGTGAAGTGCGTAAGCAGGACAGTCGTCCACTCGAGTGAGGTTTTTCCTCTTTAATTTCTAGTCATGGTTCAAATACATCACCGCTGTCACCCTAAAGCCCAGCGGAGGAGCTGTGTTGTTTCAGCAGACAAAAGAACGGCCTCCCCATGTGCTGGTAATTGCAGAGCAGGACTGTCACAGACCTGTTATTATTAAAGAGCCAAGCATCTTCCAGTACTTAAGGGCTTATGTGAGTTTTGCCAACCCCTGCACATTTCCCCCCTTCAAGCACATTTGGAGAAAGAGGCACTTTGGTGGGGGGGGGAGGAATGCATTGTCCCAGCACACATGGCCGGCTGTTTGTGAATACCCAGCAGGGGGAATTGAGTTTCTGTTGTGGCTGTTGAAGCACACATTTGGTTGGGGATGATTGATTAAGCGAGTTCTGTCTCCTTTGGATGTCAACACTGAAAACTTCCTTACAAGAGCATGTTGAGCGTGTTCTAGGAGGTTAAAACAAACCCTGCCTGGAGATTAGGCACAAAATTCCTTCTTCTTTTTTTTTTTTTTT